CGCTCCGATATATCGTGAAAGGTTTGTAGGTTAAAATGTAATGTTCTTTCAAGTGACACTTCTTTGCTATCTAATTGCTTTCCTGACGATCCTTAGTAAATGCACCTTAGTGCAGCACTGTAAACAGTGCTTATGTTTAAAAAGGTTATTTTATAGGTTGTAATTAATTCGAGTCCTGCGTTAAATTAGCATCCGCCCGGGAGCTGGGACAAGCCTCCTGGCCCCAAATGCTCAGAAGAGATCTGAAAAAGCCAGTGAAAGATACAATGAAACTAAATACGAAATAGTTTTCATTTTACGTTTTACTTCAAATCTCGCCGGGAATTGCATTTAAAAAAAATTAATTTTCGACAATATTAATTAACGGAGTTGTGAAACATTTCCGATTTCTAGGTTCGATTGTGTTGTAAAGCTCTGATATTATAACTCGTGCTCTAACGTAAAAAGCTTGAGATTACTATTGCGAATCATGTTTTTTTTAAAAAATACATATACACCTTTTGTCAGTATTACCCTTTGCGCCAGAGGAGTCTCGTCTTTGTATGTTTATTCAAATGAAAGAATAGCAAAAGTGCAGCTCTAACAATCTTGCACTGTAGATGATGGGTAGAATCTTGTTTGCTTTTCTTCGGTCTTTGTAAAGAGAACTGCATCGCATTTCTCAGTTTTTTGCTCATAATTTTTTCCAAACATTACTTTGTTATTAACCGATCAAATCGGAACATCAAACTTTTATTTACCAGAGCAAACGATCAGTAATAACTATTTTTATTTTCCTCTCACTAGGACCCGGAGCCAAAACTCGGCGAGGCCTTAGAAAAGCAGAATCAATGAAAGTAACAAGTCTGACTGGTCGAGCTGTGATTACCACTGAACTGCCTCCACGCTCCAACTCTAATGGTTATGTTAAACCTGAAGAACATCTCTCATCTGAGGCTGTGGATGGTGTCATATCTTTACCATCCACGTCAGAGACTAGGAAGGTCGACGATGATTCTTCCGAATTATTCGGTGCGTCGAGCGTTTCCGGAGGTCTCCCAGACGATCGACCGAAGAATATCCATGCGCGATCAGCGTCGCTTCCTGCCAATGTTCGACTTCCACGTTCGGCTTCCACCAAACACGATAGCACCTCGTCATCTCCTTCTACGTCGCCCAGAACAGACAAGAAAGCCACTCGGAACAAGTCATTTGCGGGAACAACCAAGGCCTCTTACGCCAAAAGAGCTCCGCTGGAGATTTTCTCGTTGCCTGAAACAGATGTTGACTCGGGTATCTCAGTGGCTTGTGAGAGACCAACGTCGGGAAGGCAATCCAAACGAAACCTTCGAATAATGGATCTAATGAAGAACAGTAAGGAGGATGAAAAGAAATCGGGAAAATCCAAAAGTGACGAAACGCACAGCCAATCAAAGCGTGACAAAAAATCTGGAAAAGTGAAGTCTGTAGGTTCCACGCCCGCTCGGCCAGACATACGGGTTTCTCCGAATGCACCTTACGTGCCGAATTACTTAGAGACAGACCTTGACTCTGATTCAGGGAAGCACAGTAATTACTTCGTGGACGATCAGCGAAGCTTTCGAGTATTTATACCCAGTGATAGAAACAAGCGAGATCATAAAAAGCGCTTCACTACAATTGATGGAATTTCTGCTTCAGACGAAAGATTACTTCGAGGAAAAGGCGCTTTTCCTGTGAAAAGGTCTGAATTCATATTTCCGTTTAATTTCCTTTTTTAATATTTTTTCCGTGTGTTTCCTTTTCATTTTGTGTATTCTGGTGTCTTGACCCAGTCTTCCGACCAAAGGTGGGGAACTTAAAGAGAGCTAGGAAACCCTCCTCCCTTTTCCCTTAAAACGATAGTTAGTTTTAATAAGCATTCACATGTCAAGTTTTCAATGAGCATCGTGTTAAAGAAGGAAATGAAAAGGAAAACGTTGAAAGTCGAAGTAAGCAAAGGAAGCATGTGCCTCTTTTTTTGTTTTTGGAAACTTTCGTGAGATATTTTAAATTTTTCTTGATTCTGTTCTTAAGGTTTCTCGTCGTCGATAGTTGTTATTTTGTTCATTATGTATTTATATTCAGTTATTGACTGTCGCGCAGATCCTAAATAATCTCTACCTTCTTTAGTGCTTTCATCTTAATCACTTTCCTTATGTGGCTTTCTTGTTATATTCAAGCGTCTTTTCAAAGTTACCAGCACATAAACCTCTTTTTGCACAAGATATCTTTAAATTCGATGTCGTCATCTTTACCGTTTATTTTGTGTTTCAGGAGACGAAGTTCACTTCCGGAGCTGCGCACAATTTTCAATCAAAAACAGGAAGAGAACAATCCTCAGGGGTACGTAATAAGTTGTTTCGACTTTTCAGTTTGACTTGATTGATGTAAAATTTGTTCTCTCACGATTTCCTTATTTTATTATTTGTTTCTTTGCCAGTAACGAGAATAAACTGACAAGGAGAAATAGAACGCATTCCCTGAACGATCTCGCCAAAATGTAGGTGTTGTTTGTTTGATTCCTATTCATTACATTTCCTTCGTGAAGGACGCTGTGACTTAATGGTTAGCACGCTAGGCTCCCGATCGAGAGGTCTCGCTCCGACCCCTGGTAATGTTCTTGGGCGAAACACTTTACTCTCCCAGTCCCTCTCTCTGTCCAACTTAGAACAGCCTTTCATCCAGGATAGTAGATAGCCTCGAAACTTAAGCGGAGCAGAAACTTGGGATAACTTCTGCAATTTCTTGGCCTCTTTTTCCCTCACACTTCTTAAACCTTTTTCAATACTAGGTCACCAACCAACAGAAAGGCTACGCCACTACATATTGACAACTTGTCTAGTGCAACAGACAATCGGGTAAGTGAACTACACTCGTAACCTTTTGGGAGCCGCAAGTTCGTCTGTTTCTTGGGCAAATCATGACGTGGCCCACGAGGAATTCACGCATATGTTATTAATGAGTGCGCATTACGTAGAGAAGCAAGGGAAGAACCATTTTTATTCGTTTTTTCAGTTGAGCGGAGGCAAGTGCGAGGGGTAAGATGTTCGACGAGAGGATTTTTTTTTTGCGCTTCTTCCCCCCGCTCCTTCCCTCGCCTGTCTCGCCCTTCGCGTGCGCCTTGCGCTTACACCGATCGCCTGAAAATCACGCAAGCAATGACATTATACCACAAGTTCACTCTGTAGAAGTAATTACAAGCCGTATGTTCCTGAATTTGTTGTTATTTTCGTTGCAGTGTGACTCACCGTTGTTTTCTCCAGGCATGGAGCAGAGTGCCTCAAGCAATAAACTGTTACTTGTCACCGATTTATAGCGAGACTAATGGGACATCAGATGCGGCAATATGCCTCACGCAATATGCCTCACGCAATATGCCTCACGCATGACGCGGAAAGTCATATATATGAAGTGGGACGCAGATGATCGGCTCGTTACATAATCCCAATGTTAAAAACCCTAGCAATAGAATATCAAGGTGGAAAAGACGCTTTTTTTTTATTACAAAACCTTCTTCCCTTTTTATGTACAGTGAAGATATCCTGAATTTGTTAAGTTTATATTTACGGGACCAAAATTTGAAATTTCGAATGACAGCTACAATTATCGCCTGCTATTCCTTAAACTAATTTTTATGTCTCATGTATTTAGGCGAAGCTTTTTTAATGTGTTTTCTTGATTTTACTGTTATTTTTCCTAGAAATATCTGTTGATTAATATTTTTTGTAGTGGTATTTTCATTGATGGACGTAGTAAAGAAAACTGTTAGTACTTTAAGTTGGCAATAATCCTTTCTTGAGAACTGTCTCAATTGTAAATCATAATAGTAGTAATATATTATAGGAAATATGTCAATTGCGAACAAACAGCAAGGTTTTGTTGTCATTTTGAAATCACTGTAAAATTAGTGACTGGGTTACAAAACTACTTTAATTTCTGTAAATGAGGGCAGAAGTTGAATTACACTAGTTGATTGTGGCTACCGCTCCTTGATTGGTCGATAAGATTGTCAGCTGTCTCCTGTCTCCCCGCGGGCGCTTCTGGCGGTAGGAGCGAGGAAACTGCTGACACCTCAGACTAAGTTTGCAATTGGTTGTTGAGAGGTTCCGATCAACTATTGGCCATATTGTTATGAGCCAATGATTCGGGGACCTTTCTGGTGTGGTGACTGGTTCTATTTAAATAATGAGAATGCGATTTAAGACGAGACCCACAGGCTTAATAGTTTGAAATCCTTGTAGACTTGTCTAATTCCCAAATTTAGGCGGGAAATAGCGAAATTATTTACCAAACAAATATTTGAAGCCGCTAGTTCGTCTTCAAAACATAAGATACTCAGCTACTTCAGAAATGTTACGACGGTGCAAGGTAATTGTTCCACTGCTTTAAAATATTTTTACCACTGCCCGAGAATTCTTTTGAACGGACAGCTAATAATCAAAACAAATAAATTAAGAAGAGAGACCATGATTGCAATGGTAATGTGAAATAAAAGCTTTACAAACCGGTTAGTAGGTGTTGTGTTCCTTCAATTCTATTGATCTGTGTCAAGAAAAAACCTACCGTCTCAGCGAAAACCGTTCAGTTACAACAATTACTCGTTTTCCTTCGTCAGAGTACCTCGGCTTCATTTCTAACATCTGTTTTGCATCAGAGGGCTATTCTATTTTAACGCCCCCTATTTTGGTCCCTTAATCCTATGCTTTTTTTACGTAAATAGAATATTTTTTTCTAAAGCCAACCTAATTCTCAGACGACCCACCCCTCTAAGTCTCAGATACGAGCGTGGCGCTTAGGCTGTTTAATTTGAAATTAAACGTAATTCTTAAAAAAAAAAAACACACAGAACCGAAATTTCGTCCAACTGATCAGTGAAACTTCCATGGAATGTCAATTCGCCCTTTCTCCTCAGGGCTGAACAGTTTTGCCCCGTTTCGATTACCGTTATCGCGCTGTGCTTACTTAATAAGCACAATTTTCACTAGCTAACACCGTTAATCTCATTTTGAAACATTTTATTTTCAAACGTTTGTCAAGTGAAACATTCTTTACTGAAAGGATAATAAAAGTGCGCTACAAGATGTCTTGTTCATTGCTAAGGATTACACATTATGTAAACAGAAACCGAAACGAAATTACACTTTCTGACCTAACTGCAAACGCAATTGTAGGTCTGCGTATTTGCACTGACTTCACATTCTCGTCTTATTCTCCTCGCAGAACAAAAAATAGAAAATAAAGGATATAGTCAATATCTGGTCTACTACACAAGAGAGTATATTATTTCCCTTCCTGCTTAATTCCGTCGCTTTGTACTCCAAACTAAACTTGACCGGAGAAAGGTGGCGGGATGAAGCCTAAGCCATGAACGATGAGACAAATAGTCACAGATTTTTTCCTTCCAACACTCTTCCAGAAACCTTCTTTGGAATGATTCTGTATATTGATCAAGATTTCCACATTAGTCGAACAACAGGTTTTCCTCCAAATCCTATTGCACATTCTAGTCACAATACTCATGAATTACTCTCTTTCATCAATTAAAAACAGTATCCTTTGGTGCAAGGCTATACCTTGTCTTGTCTACAGCACTTTGGATAAAACTGTACTGAAAAACTTAAGGCAGCCTCCCACAAACAGTTGAAAGCTTTTTCAAGACCCAAGGTGACCAGAATCAAATCTCTCAGAGTGAGCAAAAAATTTTTCATTTGGATACATAATATTCTCCCAAACAAAAGAACTAGGAATGTCCAGACATACATTTAGATAATAAATATTTGCATTGATGATTGAGGTCTAAAGGTTGTAATTTAAGCACACACTATATCAAATTGACTTGCTTCTGATCAACTTATTCACAATTTTGTCCAATAGAAAGCACCTTTGCTTAAAGTATTTTCAACATACCATTCTGAAAAATTCTCATCAATGACAATTTTAACAATAATGTTACAGCTACAGTTATTTCAAGTCTAAAGAGTTTATTCAATCTCATACTGAGACAAAATAAAATTACTGTTATCAATTACTTCTAAAAGAAACTAATTTTATTTACAATGGTTTGATAGCTAAATGAATTAAGTCATATTTGTATACATTATAAGCTGCTGTAAGTAGGACACAAGCCAGGAAATTTGTGTTGGGTATAAAACTGATGGCTACTGGTAAACTTCCCTCTAACAATAATAAAAAAAAGATTTCTTAATTTCTTTCAATCATTTTGTTTGGCTTAACTTCAATATTCCTATCTGAAAATATTCTCTTTTTGTGCAGTAGATATGTTTTTGAGTTATATGACTTTGTACAAAGAGCACTTCAACCATAAGAGTTTGTCACTTCACTTTATTTTTTCCAGGGAGTTTACCATAAAGCTTCAACTTCATGTGATCAAACCAGTTTTCCTGGCTAGCATTGGAACAAATGAAACATAGTCCCCAGCAAAATAACTTGTTATTCCCCCAATTGATAACCATTCTTACAGGAAGAAGACAAAACATACCCAGTCATAGTGGTTAAATATTTAGTAGAACTAGCCAGATGTCACTCCCACACAAAAGAAACAATTCAGTGACTAATGTACATAGAGAAATAAATGATAGCTTTATTATTGTACATTTATTTCAGTAAAAAATTTAACTGCTTTTTATATAAAATAAATTGAAACATTTGCATTAAATAGAGAATACAAGTCTACTTCCTAATATGATTTGTAATCCATTCAAGCCCCTGGTACAATCTGGAAAAGAGAAAAAATCACAACACATTGTTTGAGAATATTTTTTTAGTGCACACTTGCCTAGGTACTAAGGATCCTATGCTAAGGATCCCATGCTAATGATCCTATTTGACTCCTACATCCTATAAACACATTTTTTTTACTATTATGAAAAAACAGATGAGACATATTTGTACCAGATCTTTCTTTACAATAGTAATAGCATAAATTAAACCAAGAATTGAACACCTTACTTGATCTCACACTGAAACTGTGTCGTACAATGCATTACAAACTGAACTAAACAAAGTTACCAGCTTACTCACCCTTCTCCTGTAAGGGCACAACATGCCTAAAAAGAAATAAAAAAATAGACAAGAAATTACTTAGCAACAAAACTCCTTTTTGACATTACTTTTAGCTTAGTATACACTTAATCAGCAAATGGAGATAACACATTTGTTATTCAATCATCAGATGCCTCACTTTTGTTTCCAATCTGTCTTTACAGTAAAATTTTTACTTCAGAGAGAGAAAAAGGAACATCTTCCTTTGCTTAAAACATATTCCTACATTTATTGAGCATACAACATAGAAAATGACCAGGGTAGTCACTGAAAAATGAATGAGCACTGGTTTATATAAAAAACATCATCAAATCAATTCCCTTTGTGAAAATTTACCTGTATATGCCATCCATGGTCCTTAATTGAAGTAAGATTTAATTGTTCTGATATTTCTGCAACACTCATTGATCCCTGAAAGAGAATAACTCTGAGTCAGAAAGCAATTACATTTATATTCAAAGTAAATAATGTTAGATCATAAGGATTTCTACTCTGTTAAAAAGTAGTTCTTATTCATACAGTATTATCATTCAAGTTCACAGTTTATCACAAATTTACCAAATTGTGTTTGAATTGCAACATTTTTACATCAAGTTTTTTTATCACACAGCTGCTTCAACAGAGGAACAAACCTTTATGTCTTGTTTGTTAGCAAATATAAGAACCCCAGCTTGTCTTAGATCCTACAGCAAAAGAAAAAAAGAGATAAGAAATAGAGATAAAGCTGTGCACTCTTGTAACTGGAGAGCATTACTGCTCACAATAAGACAGCTTTGTTTCTTCCAGTTCACTGAAGAAGTCCCAGCAAGTCTGAATGAAATGATTATGAGCATGCAGAGATAAAGCTTTATAATCTATAACCTTGTGATCAGTTACTGTATTATTTTAGTAGGAATGGGATTAACTTCAATGTCAGGAACAACATAACAAATGATGATTCTGAAGACATCCAGAGCCAGTTGTGGATCCTTTGTCTTCCCCCTCCCCCAGCTCATGCTTACCATAATGAGGCAGAAGTGCTACAACTTATTTATTGAAAGCTGAGTTCTGATTGGCTCATTTTTCCCAAAAGACAATTCCCCACTCCACTGAATTACCACAATGCATTTTGAATGATGATGGCTACTTTTGCATTGCTGAACAATCTTACCTCATGATTTAACATGTTGTAAAGTTCTGCTTTTGATACAGCAAGTCTTTCCCTATCAGTACTATCTACAACTAAAATTAAAAACTGAAAGAGAAAACACAATACAACTTGATCAAAATTACCTATTTTCTGATGGAAAAGATGATCAAGAAATCCTTAGTTATTTAGAGCAGAAAGTACTACAAAGCGGTTAAGAGAACTTTGCAAATTACTAACTGTATTTAGGAAAACTATGTAAGGAGTTACTGAATATTATAAAGTTTAGTTTACCTCTGTATTTGTGTAATATGTGTTCCATGCTGATCTTAGTGATTCTTGACCTCCTATATCCCACATCAAGAAATGAATATTTTTCCATACAACCTAATATTGAAAAGATGAGTACACACAATCATGCACCGCACATAAACAATGAATTACAATCTCTAGGCCATCTAATAAACTTGAACCCATTAAATAGTTTCCTTTAGATAAATGGACCTTCCTTGAGTATAAGAACAACAGATGTTGGCTAATACTTTCCAATTAACTCTTTAACTCTTAAGATCTGATTGTTAATTCTCACCTCTCGCTAATACACAGTACCTTCTAAATTAGATATAAGAATTTAATGTTAGATCACATCCAAGTATTCTCATTACTTGTTTGCTGAAGAGTGTATAGATATTGTATGGATATTATAAGAAGTCACATGTTCACCACTCCTGGGATTTACAGGTTAAAAGAAGCCAACAATAAACATTTCACAAATTACAGTAATTGATGAAAACCTTTACACATTTCAAAACAAATGGAAAATTTTGCCATACAGCTTGAAAGAATCATCTTGCCACCTGTAATACTGTCAATAGGAGGCAGCTAACTATATGTACATGAATGTCACAGGTTTTCAATACACTCAACTCTTCAAAATCTTTATTGTTATAGGCTTACCTCTTCTACATTACTGCCTATTGTTGGTGATGTATGAACTACCTCACTCATTAAACTGTAAGACAATAATGAAAAAAATAAACATCATGATAGATCTAAAATATAATTTTCAACCTAAATTTTGATACTTACAACTGATACAAAATTGTTGTTTTTCCTGCATTATCTAAGCCCACAATGATCACCTTGTGTTCTGAAAATAATAAAAATTGATATTTGCATTACAATTTACTCTACAATTTAATATAGTCATACCACTCATCATGTTACAAAGTTTGTATCTCCTGAAATGGAAAGATAATATTCTTGTTCTCACTCTGGTCGGATTTTATATTAGGCAAAAATGAATCATGTTCCAATTCAAAAAATTTATTATAACAACACTTTCCAGTCTTAACTGTTTACTACTAACTGATTATGTTTCCGTGACATCAAAGACTTTCAAGTTTAATTCTATGATGTGAGAACCAGTTCATTTAGAATATGATCTGAAAGTGGTTAATGGCTTAATCAATAAGTTGTTATTTAAAAAATTGAGCTCATTTCCAAAATTTGGATGCAAAAAATTTGCATTAGTTTCTGCCAACAGAAAACTAGAATCAGAAGAATTCAAGAATATGAGAAATCAGTTCAACAGAATTTACTCATTTTACCCATACTTCACAATATTTCCACATTGACTTACGTGGTCATTCAAAACAATTGTACAATTGGGGAAACCCCACAAACAGAAACTTGAAATAACAGCTAATTTCCATTAGCTTACAACACAGATTTGAGTAAAAGTCGATTTGTAAATATTCAAATTCAGGACTGATGTTGTTCATGGGTTCCACTTTACCAAAATATCGGTTTACCCAGTTTATATTACCGTTTTAAGGAGACAAAATACTGTATATATGGAATGTTTAAAAATCAACTTCATTGTAAGATATGCAAGGCCTTGAAATCACATTGAATAAATAGGTAGCATCCTTTGTTGAAAACAATAACACGTACTTAAGGTTCACAAGAATACGTCGCTACCTCTTCTCCGTCGAAAAAAAGTACAACAACAACAAAAATTTCACTCGTTCCTTGACGAATTTCAATCTTCACACATATTGTAACATCCATGCACACCGTACACAGACAAAGGTTCCGACAAGCTTAATGATTTCCATCAGAAAACGCCATGAAGAACGATCTTCCTCAATTAAAATATATATGACCAAAGTAAATCCAAAATGGAATAGAGCCTGTAGGGTTAAGTAAAGAGCAAAGACATACATGTAACAGGATTTTGTCTCTTTGATATTTTTACTGGCAAGCTAAGGGCACGCCAACCGTAGGCATTATACTTACCCTCATTGCTGAACCAACTGAACAATTTAGCGAACAAAAGCCCCATCTCGTGCCCATGAAAATAACGTGGTTAAAATGGAATCGGGACAAAATCCAGGAATTTAGGGAAAGGTTTTTTCAATCGATATTTGTACTACCTTGACTTCCTAAATCGACACTACACAGAGTCAGGTCAAATCACGCATGCTCCAAGCCTCGCATGGATGTGATGTGACGTAATTGTACAAGCGAGAGTTCCTATCTCCGGAAGTGTAAATTGATATAAACTTCTTCGCATTTCTGTTTGGTGAGAACTGTAGCTGCCACACTTACTCAAGCAACGCTAAATTGAAATCGAAGGTTCGTTTGCATCACCCAAAAAGGCTTGACAGCCGAGACATCTCTTAATTAATTGTACGGAACTTATTTAACTCTAGGAAAACATAAGATATTATCATGTTTAAATCATTGTGGAAGAAAAATTATTTAGCAATATTTCTGCGAATACCTGGAATAGTCTTCCCAAAAAAGTTCATAACTCAACAAATCTAACAGAATTCCATTGCAATCTTGAGAAAGCTATTCTTTAGAATCATTCATTCATTTCATTCTTCGTTATTATATTAATAATTTCTTTATATTTCGTTTAACATTATGATTGTAATTTATTTGATGAATTTGTTTTTTTACACACGTTCGTATTTGAAAGAGTTATAGCTCCTGAAAGACATTTCTAGATAAAGAAGTATATTGCAAGTTCCCACGACGGTGGAGTGACTAACCCCTTTTTTTTCACCTGTGCTTAAAATAGTTGGTGCTCTTTAATTTTTCACCGCAACTATTTTTATAAACTCAAAATATTATCTTAGTTAGCGGAAATTCTGACGCAAACTCGAAACTTTTTTTCCATGATTTCCCGATTTTCAGAAAAGTCAAGGTTTGCTCACTGTCGGTGATCAATGGAACGCTTTCAGAGCGAGAAGAGAGTTAAACGAGCGACTGACTCTCAGGCTATCGCATTATCGCTTTGATGTTATGGAAAATGGGAGGCACAATGGATGGAAGATAGGCTATAGCAGAGCTAACTCAGTTTAATGACTAACATCTATCTCTTGCTTTAAGCAAATGAACACTTTTCGATTCGCCTTGAGGTTTAACGAGAACGCAATTTTACGAACACGCATTTTTTTAAAACCTTCATTTACGTCTTTCTGACCACAAAAAAAAAAGGACACAAAAGACGGGCCAGTTTTATCTTGTTATGACATTATTAACCACCAAAAATACAAGAGCAGCCAGAGGCCATGAAATAGTCGAAACACAGATAATCCCGAAGTCACGTGGACAGAGAGTGACAGCCAGCTGTTTGTAACATTACATAATACAATGAGTCTTGATTCTCAGATAAAAATCAATTACAAGTAATAATCATGGAAGACTGAAACAAAACGAAAAAATAACCTCAAAGAAGGAGTAATTTTTAAATCTATGTATAAAAACACGAAATAAATAACACATTCGTCGTTAAACTTCTCGTCATTATGCTCCTATTATTCATTAGACGCTAGAGTCAGATTTTTAACTCTGCGTTTCATGATTTTAGAAAACTCCGTTTTCCTTTGAGGGTTGTAAATCAAATTGCAGCGTTTAAGAAAAATTCTGAACGAAGTAAATAAAAACTTGGATCATCCAGCGTCAAACAAAAGTTCTCAAACTTTTCCTTCAGCCACGTGCTTTGACTTGTTTTACTTTGAATGGATTTCTTTTCTTCATTTCTTTCTTGTGTTCTCTCTCCTAAAGACAAACCAGAAAAGGAAATGTTTACTCGAAGTTATATCACAAAATCATAAAGTCATTTATTGCGTAGACTACTTTTCCTGGCGCAGATATTGAATGCAAACCAACCTCCAGCCTTCGCTGTCTGTCAGGGTCATCCTCTTGCATGATTCGTTCTTTCTCAGCTCTTACTTTGTCTTCGCGACGTTGCTGTGCGGCCTTCAATTGTAAAAAAGATGCAGTTAACCTTGAAACTACTCAATTATGGAACCTTTATTCGTGACCGAGCAAACTTGCCAAAAATCTTGTCACAAAAAGACCACCAAGATTTCCTTTCTCTCTGGTTTGCATGTTATTGCGTGGAAGTAATTCAAAAGAATCCAACAGAGGTTAGAGAGCATTTAAATTCCGCGACGCTAGATCAAAGCAACGTCACGAAAACTGCCAAATATAAGAAAACATTACCATTAATTTTCACTCACTTCTTGCCTTTGAGCATGAGATTGTTTCAGCAGATTTTCCTCGAGTTCTCGCCGATTTTTGTCAGCTTTAGCTTTAGCCTGAAGTAAACAAAACACGATTAGTCTAACGATTCACTAATAAAGAATGTTACGCAGTGTGGTAACACGACAGAAAAAGCTACCCCACAAGCGAGTCTATGATGAATGATATAGAGGAAAATTAAAAGAAACAAACTAAAAGATTTCTAAACTCGAGAAAAGAAGCTAGAACTAAGCACGAGAAACAAACAAACCTCTTTTCCGAGCTTAAACCGTCTAACCCTATCAATACAGTGAAGAACTAGTTTCATCATCGGTTCTAATTTGACCATGTCAGATGACTTGGTACTGCTCCCTTTAGAAGGCACTGAAAAATATATCGTATACAGCACTCAGATACAAGAAAACAGAATCAAACAAGCTGACACCATAGTTATTAAGGATGGCCGAAAGGATTTTGAGATCTCAAAAGTCTGAGATATATAAATATCATTTACAAGATATCATTGCCAGTGAACTCATTGGAGATGTTGCCAAACTGATTCAAGATATCAGTGAACTCTTCTCAAGTTGCCAGCAAATTCAACCAAATAATTGGCAGATTCATCTGAGTTGTCAGCAAACTCAGCCAAGTTGTTGGCAAACTCAACTGAGTTGTCTGTGAACTCAACAGAGTTGTTTCGCACCAGTTGTTACTGCAGAAATATAAATTTTCCAGCAGCAAGACAGAAATCAATCTCACCTTTAAAGTTAAAAAGCAGGACCTTCTTAGGTTTGACAGGTTTCCCACTAGCTGCCTGGTCACTAAAATAAATAAAAAAGACTAATGAGCAAGACAAAAGGTTACCTAGAGAATAAACTAAATCTGAGACAACTACCCTAAAAAGATTCAACTTTTCTTTCAATTAAAAATATTGATAAAGCATTTGACATACTCATCATCAGGTTGCTTTGGACCCACATATTGATCAGAAAATATCAATGAGTCAAGCATTTCTTCACCACTGGAAATAGCTCTTGTGATCTGTAACGAGAAATGCCACACATTGAAGAAAAAAAAAATGGCTGTACATTTGTCAGGAGTACAAGACAAAGATACAGAGCTCAAACACAAAGATACTATCTGAGTCCCCATCTGCAATCAAACCCTAAACTTCAAATTGCATTGTCTTATCCTGGACTACTGAGCTGGGGAGAACTCACTGGTGAGATAAGCTGAATAATAATTTAATATATGACATGCATGCTGCTGCCTGCATATTGACAGGATGGGCAAGCTTTTTTCATTGCTGAAAATAGCTGGATGCAGGAGTTGTCACACATTTAAGACTGCTACCTCTACCTCATGTAAAAGAAACATCTCAAAATCATAGCAATCTGATATTTTGAGCTAAGAGTAAAAAAAAATTAGCCAAGTTTTTTTTTATCATACCTGTGATGATAAAATGGCACTGGCTGCTTCAGCAGACTCAGTTAACACAACAAATGAGCCAGGTAGATCATATTTAGGTCCAGCACGTTTATCAGGACAGAAGAAGGTCTACGTAAAGAAGACAGTGTTACCAAATACATCAGCAGACACTTTTCATGACCACAAATATATCAGAACAAATTCACCACATAATTCTTTTTTTTACCAAATCTTGGAGCTCCTTTTGCATCTTAGCAGCAGTCTTCTTTGGTAAAACAGCAAGAACAAAGTTGTCCATTTCTTCATCAGTCATGTGCACTGTAACTGTCTAAATAAAACATAGACAACAAATTAAGGACTTTTCAGTTTTTTGTTGTCAACAGCAATTAGAAAATGAGCAAATCAGACAATGGTGAAAAAAAACAAATAATACATAACAAAACAAACTTAAAACGTACCACAGTATCCCTGGCTGGTTTGACTAAATAAGACATCACACTAACAAGATCATGACGCTTCTGTAACTAAAATAGAAAGATAAAGACCAGTGACCAACTGTCCTATGCACACAGAGCAACTGATAACCATTTTTACAGTAAGTGCTCTAAACAGCAACTGTTTTGATCAGCTAAGAATAAAATTTGGCAACCTTTGTTTAGTGGTCATGTAGCAAGATGTAATATTTTTATGACTCAATGCTCAAGGTTTTGGTGAGAGAGGCATTTACAGAAAATTTTATTGAACAAATGTCCTTTCAAATTTATGTTTATTAAACCGACAACAAAATAAAATTGGAGGTGACCATTTCAATATCATCTAAGGTCATCAAATTGTGACAGTGACAAATATTTTCATTGAAGCATGAACAAAGTTATAGGGTAAGCATCTACATAAATGAAACATGTAACTTTGGGCTAAGATTTCTTCCTTACCTTAATTTCAACAAGCAATCCATCACAGCCTACCCTCCCTGTGCACCATAATGTATACAGACTCTCACTCTCCTTCACCAATATTCCTTGTTGAGGTTCCTCACTGGAGCCATCATCACCTGGTTAGGCAAATAAAACAATATTCAAATTAAACAAACCAGTATAAAACAATGATTTTAAAAACAATGCAACAAATAATATTCAGATGATTGCATCATTAAAATTCTTGCTTTCTTCTCAGACACATCAATTTGATTTCATGTCATTGCGAGTCTTTCAGCAATAGATCACAGATGACATCAAAATAAAGTCAGAACATAGTGACAATCAGCAGCTCCTTGTGAGCCACTTTTTTGTTCTCACCACATTTTGATGTCATCTGTGATTTATTACTGATCAGATACATAGCAATATGGAATCTAATGGTAAAACTTACCCACTACACTGAAATTACTCTCCAAAAGTTCTTTATTAGATTTTAACCTGGGAATTTAATCAAAGGAGACAAAGTTATAATTCAAATTGAATGGGGTCCCATACATAAAATAGAGAAGAATCATTTAACCCTGAACTCTAGAGATCAAATTGTTCATTCTCCTTTCTCCTACTGCACATTTGCTAGTAAATTAGTAACAAGAATTTGGTGTGAGATCAAGATAACAATTGATACCTGAAAAAATTTAGTATTCTCAATCCCTGTCGGCTGGATGTTTGAAAATTATAAGGCTATTACTTTATTAGTTTTTAACTGTTATGTGTCACCCACTTAGTTATTTTCTACATGGAGAAAGGGTTAATCATGGATATGCATCAAATTTGAACAGAAAAAGAAAAAAAATCATCAGAATTTGTTTTTGCTGTGAGCCATTCAGTTGTTTCATAAAAACACAAACACATTACCATGCAGTTGCAAGCCTTGAGTTTTTACTTCGTCCAGCAAAGAAATTAAGTGCATAGGCTGCTAGCCCAGCTAGAGTCAGAATTTCAGCATAAAATCCCTCCCAGTTTGCCCTTAAATGAACAGGAATCTGAAACAGAAACACCAAAAAATGTAAGAAAAGTAAAAGTCTTTGCAAGAAATAAATAAACATGTTTTATTATCTCATGAAGCACACACCTTCTTTATTTTTAAATCAGGTTGTGGACCTGATTTTCCTTTTGGTATTTTTTCTTTATTATATCCCTGGATGGTAGGAAAAAAGTATACCATCAGTAAACTTGTTTGTGTAGAGGTAATTTATACAACCAGTTTACTCTTAACTCCTTTGAGTGATCAAGAAAGAATTTCTCCTTACAATATCAATACAATATCAAGCAGACAAGTAACGAGGAGGAAAATTATCAATTGATTTAATAACAAATTCTCCAAACTAAAATTTTAAGAATTGAATGGCAGATAGAAAAAAGAATTACCTAATGAACGTGATCTTGGGAGTGAAAGTGTTAGAGTGGTTTAACAATAGTTAACAAGTATCAGAACAATCAAGGCTGAAACTACGAAAAAAACAATTCAAAAATTAAACAAAATCTTTACCTCAAATTCTTCTTCATCAGTAAAGTGATCAAACTCTTCTTGCTCCTCCTCTGACTACAAAAATGAATAATTCATTCACTATTAATGATCAGTTGCAAACCCAAGTAAGGTAAATATTTGTTCATTCAAAGTTTGTTAAGTCAATAAATGACATTCTTTAAAACACCTGTAAAAATATAAAGTACACTACTTGAGGAAAGTCCCTCGAACTAAGACAAAATTCTCCAACTGAAAAAATTATTCATGTGAAATAATGATAATCACAGTAATGTTAACACTGATATGTGGATATAGCAAGGAACTATGAAGATATTATCATCTATTTGAAAGTATAAGCTGTTTACCTCTTCAACATTTGCCTCTGACTCATCTGTTTCTTCTGCAACATCAGCTAAATAGATGAACCAAAAACATTGTGATTTATATCTTTTTAAGTATTTCTTTTTTCCCTCAACATCCCCATATTTTCTTTGTTCACTGTTTTTCTGCAACAAGCACAAATTTCACCACTACAGAGGGTGAGATGAGGAATAAAAAAAAAAGAGAGACAAAGTTTAGGGAGGGAAAGGACAAAGGGAGCAGAAGTTAATGAAAACTCTCTAAAATTTTCAATTCATCCCTTAAACCAAACATTATTTTGTGCATTAGTTGTTGGCTATACCACCACAGTACACCACCCCAGTCACCTGGTCTGGAATGAACCAGTTCACAAATAGAACCCATAATGTACTCTAGGACCAGGCTCGAAGTTCTTTGACCCAAGCTGACCAAACAACAAAAAAACGCAACGTTGGGAATAAAAGTGAAGGGTTCCACGAATTAAGTTCTATAACAAAAAGGAGCGACCTTCCGTATGAAATATATGAACACCTATGCTGAGTAGTCAAACCCAATAACATAAAGTTTCTACAACATGCTCTTCCCTTGCTCTAGCTTTTAATTAACAGCATATTGTTTATATTTCTATACACCGTGCCAAGGCAGGTTCCCATCTAAACCAAGTAAAATTTATCAGCTGACAAAAGTGTATATGGCAAAGAATCGATCGTGGTTGTTACATGAAGATGACATAAACGTTTGAAATAATCCAAAAATAAAGAGAAACAAGAAAAGACGAAGACCAAAATTTCATTTTGATGTTGGGGAAAGATGTAGCGTGACAAACACACGTGGTAGCTAGCGTTCCAAAAGAAGTAGGTGATTATTGTAGGTGATTGCCATTAAAGTCAACAAAGACTATAGACCTTAAATCCAGTTAAATTGCAAGTACATAATTTCTTGGAAAATATTCACTTACCCACCTTGGCCTATCCAGGAAAAAATACGCGCTAAATAAGTTTTAAAAACTCTTCTAACCTTCCTCTTCTTCATCGTCATCTTGATCGCCTGTTCCATGCACCTCTGTTTCTTCTTCATCTTCTTCGTCCCCTTCCGTTTCAAATTCAGCAAAATCATTACTGTTGTCGTCCGGTTCGTCAGTGGCAGTGATGTACGTCAGAAAACCAACAAGCAGCAGGAAAATCATGATAAATAAAGGCCTGAAAGGCTTCAGATACGAGCGCACCGACGCCATTTTGAAAGTGGGTTAATAGTGCTACCCAAAGTTCCATTCTCGCGATTTCACGAGGCCTGCAATAGTTTCTGGGTACTGGTGGCCATGTTGAGTTAGACGTCTGGAATCGTGCAGTTATCAAATTGAATTTAGTAATTCTTCCGCTGTAAAGTAAAAATGGGAAGCGAAGTCAAGATGGAGACTGATATGGATAAAACGGACAGCAAGTTAGCATCGCGAGATGAGAGAGAGAACGCGGAAAAAGACCGTGATAAAGACAGGGATAGACACCGGCATAAAGACAGACATCGCAATAAGGAATCAGACAGAGAACATAAGAGAGAAAAAGAAAAGCATCGTGATCGAGACAAACGTGAAAAGGACAGAGATAGGAAGAGAGATAAAGACAGGGACAGAAAACACCGTAAAAGATCAAGGTATACCAAGGGTAGCAGTGTGTGGAGCAATGTTATATGCAGAACTGGAGGTTGAAAGCCTTGTTGCGCATGTACTTCTGTTTTGTAGAATTACTAGATATTTCAGCAAAAGTTTTCCTTTTCAAATAGTGTTAGGTTAACGCCTCATGCATGTCAGGGTTAACCCTTTGACCCCTTTGGGTGCCAAGTATCTAATTTCTCCTTACAATATTGCCCCTTAATCACACATACAGGTTATGAGAGTAAAGGAAATGATCACCAACTCAAAAAGCAATTGATTGCCAAACAAACTCTACATGTCAGCACCCTAGAAAATGTATGGAGAACAGTGTATAGAATATGCATACTGATGTTAGGGTGTAAAGGGTGCTACTTGTAGCAATTGTCACAACGTAGGGATATTAACAGTAGATGGGTACAAAATGTCCATATACCCTTAAAGGCTTATTTTTCAAGTCGTCATACCAGAGGCTACTTGTCTGTTTAGTGGACTGATGATTTTTGGATTGCTTACAAACTTTAAGTACCTTTTTGTTCTAGATCTAGGTCACCTCACAGATCCAAAGATAGCAAGAAGTCAAAGTAAGTTCTTTTTATAAAGGAAAGTGTCTGACCATTTTGTTACCATTTGTCAAATCTTTAGTCAAGTGAGTTAATAAAACATCCACTGTAATATTTATCAGACCAGATGACGACAAAAATGGTGTAGAAGAACAAGAGGATGAGCAAGTGAAACCAAAAGTCGAGGTGATTAGACAGCTTTTAATCAAGTTTAAGTAAATGTTGTTTGGTTTTATCAACTGATTTGTTCATGTAATTTGGCCATTGTAAAGAGTTTCTAAAGCTGATGTTTCAAGCATCAGCCCTTTGTCCTTCTCTCTGACCAAAGGCTAAGGCTCAAAATGTCAGCTTGAGAGACTTGTCATTTTGACCAATACTAACAGTATTGAATCAATCATTAAAACCAAATTATCTTGTAATGCCTCTGATGCAGTATCACAGTTTTGTGAGAAACATACTTCTTTATGCTTGTGATCTGGTTGAACAAGATAATGCCATGCAAAGATGGCCCAGCAAGAAAGGGAAGAGAGAGAAAGAGTGGTGGTCATATGAGAAAATTTTCATTGACTGAGTTAGTTTGGATTGAAAGAGAAAACATTTGGCTCTTGGTCACAAGGTGCAAACCTCACCGCACTCACTACATGCTTCATTACCTTGAGCAAAATGTTTTCCTAGTTTTCACTCCTACTGAGTCAATAAGTTCATAATATGAAATGGCATCCAATAGAAAACCATCTAAAACTCTACAGTCACATAATGTTCTTGTAATAATTAAACTTGTGATGTACATTTCATGTAGCATATCTAGAGCCAATTTTGATTGTTACATACTGAACATTATAGTTGTGAACTGCTGTATTGTGATGTGTGGAATAACTGTGTATAATACAATTTTTTTTTATCCTTATACTAGCCCTTATCTCTGGAGGAAATGATCGCAAGACGAGAGGCTGAAAAGAAGGCACAAGAAAAGGTATAGGAACAACACAGGGACCACACAGCTAATTGTTTGGGGTTCCTGTGGACCCACACTGCCAGATTATTTTGTTAGAGTTCTTTTTTCAGTTTTATGTGTTTTTTCATTAACTTTTTTGAAGCTTATAATTTACTGGTACTGTTTTATCACAGCCAACATTTTTGACTAAAGAACAAAGAGCCATGGAGGCACTGAAAAGGAGACAGCAGCAAGTAGAAGAACAACGGAAAAAGACTGAGGTATTTAAGAAGAGAATCTATTCCACAGATTTATGTTGAGTGAGCAAGGATAAAACTTCATCTTAAACATCTTTCAACAATTTTTTAACAGACACTCATCGACAATAATTATTCTGAACTTTAAAATAATGCATTTGTCCTACAGGGGGAGCGCCAAATGAGGGAGAAGTTTCTAAGAGAGGCACAGTATTCGAGAGGTTAGTCAGCTTGTTTGTCTCATCTTATAGTTGATAGAGTTTCCACCTTAACATCCCTTGCAAATTTTGATTGTACATGTTATTTTCTGAACACATTCAATGACTAGAGGATGAAGTGGAAAGAGAGAGAAGGGAAAGAAGAGAAAGACGAGAAAAGAACTTGACTGAAGAAGAGGTGGGAACCATGTTTGTTGAAAGAATAATTTTTCTAATGATTTTTAATGTTAATAAATTGTGTTTAGTACCATGTTTTAGAGCTTAGATATAGAGAAAAGTTCCTGTAATTTTCCATTAATTTTGAATTACTACTTTCTTCTCCGGCTGCCTTATTGTAGGCTGAGAGTGAGAAAGCAAAACTACGAAAGGTAAGATACAGACATACTCATTAAAATGCATTATGATGGCTCTTAATGAGAGTCAACCTACAAAGTGTATGACCTGCTCATGAATTCTTCTGATGTGTTACCATTGAACTATTACACTCAAGGAAGCCACGCCTTTAACTTTGAGGTGTTTCATGGAACAAAGATCTTTTTGGCCATTAGGATTAAAAGGTTGAAAGGGTTTACATGAGTTGTGGATGAAAGGATAGTAGCTTTCAAGCCTGTGGTAAATTTGTCATTCAACAGCAATCACTAACACAGATATCCAAAGTTATTTTTCTATACAGAGATTGACTACTCATTTTACACTTTTCCACAGGAAAAAGATCAGGAGAAAGAAATCCAAGCAATAAAGGTAATACTGGATGTGATAATTAAAAAGAATGACTGATACAAAGTCAAGTCTAAAAGGACCAAACATAACTTTGTTAATCTGATTAGCTATATACTGCAGTATTTGATTAATATGTGAAATTTCAGGAGCGATACCTTGGGGGAGTGAAAAAGAGGAAGAAGATACGTCGTCTTGCAGACAGAAAGTTTGTGTTTGAATGGGACACAGGAGAGGATACTGCTGTGGATTATAACCCAATGTAAGTATCTTCAGTAGTAAGGGACATAAACCAATGAATCAGTGTAAAGAAAAAAAAAAGTGTCTAGCAAGTAATTAACTTATTTCAATAACTGTTTTTTTTTTGTTTTTTTTTTTCATAGTTACACTGATAGACATCAGATACAACTCTTTGGAAGAGGACACATTGGCGGAATTGACATAAAGGTAAAGGTCCTTCAAAAGATATTTACGTTATAGTGAAAAGAGCTGAAGTTGATCAACAGCTCTCTTTGTTCATAAACCAGACATATTCACTCCATATTTTTCTTTTCCACCCAAAATCAATTTCAAAATAGTTGTGTAACAATATTATGTTAATAAATCAGGGCACAGCAGATTTTCATGGGGATGTTTTTAAAAGGATAATTTTACTTAAGCCTCTTAACCCTTCTACCCCTTGGAGTGTCTAGCCTCTTATTTCCCCTTGGAGTATCTGGCCTCTTATTTCCCCTTGGAGTATCTAGCCTCTTATTTCCCCTTGGAGTATCTGGCCTCTTTTTTCCCCTTGGAGTGTCTGGCCTCTTATTTCCCCTTGGAGTATCTGGCCTCTTTTTTCCCCTTGGAGTATCTGGCCTCTTATTTCCCCTTGGAGTATCTGGCCTCTTATTTCCCCTTGGAGTATCTGGTCTCTATTTTCCCCTTGGAGTGTCTGGCCTCTTATTTCCCCTTGGATTATCTGGCCTCTTTTTTCCCCTTGGAGTGTCTGGCCTCTTTTTTCCCCTTGGAGTATCTGGCCTCTTTTTTCCCCTTGGAGTGTCTGGCCTCTTTTTTCCCCTTGGAGTATCTGGCCTCTTTTTTCCCCTTGGAGTGTCTGGTCTCAATTTTCCCCTTGGAATGTCTGGTCTCTATTTTCCCACTGGAATGTCTGGTCTCTATTTTCCCCCTGGAGTGTCTGGTCTCTATTTCCCCTTGGAGTGTCTGGCCTCTTTTTTTTCCTTGGAATGTCTGGTCTCAATTTTCCCCTTGGAATGTCTGGTCTCTATTTTCCCCCTGGAATGTCTGGTCTCTATTTTCCCCCTGGAGTGTCTGGTCTCTATTTCCCCTTGGAGTGTCTGGTCTCTATTTTCCCCTTGGAATGTCTGGTCTCTATTTTCCCCCTGGAATGTCTGGTCTCTATTATCCCCCTGGAGTGTCTGGTCTCTTTTTCCCCCCTGGAGTGTCTGGTCTCTATTTCCCCTTGGAGTGTCTGGTCTCTTTTTTCCCCTTGGAGTATCTGGCCTCTTATTTCCCCTTGGAGTATCTGGCCTCTTATTTCCCCTTGGAGTATCTGGTCTCTATTTTCCCCTTGGAGTGTCTGGCCTCTTATTTCCCCTTGGAGTATCTGGCCTCTTTTTTCCCCTTGGAGTATCTGGCCTCTTATTTCCCCTTGGAGTATCTGGCCTCTTATTTCCCCTTGGAGTATCTGGTCTCTATTTTCCCCTTGGAGTGTCTGGCCTCTTATTTCCCCTTGGATTATCTGGCCTCTTTTTTCCCCTTGGAGTGTCTGGCCTCTTTTTTCCCCTTGGAGTGTCTGGCCTCTTTTTTCCCCTTGGAGTATCTGGCCTCTTTTTTCCCCTTGGAGTGTCTGGCCTCTTTTTTCCCCTTGGAGTATCTGGCCTCTTTTTTCCCCTTGGAGTGTCTGGTCTCTATTTTCCCCTTGGAATGTCTGGTCTCTATTTTCCCCCTGGAGTGTCTGGTCTCTATTTCCCCTTGGAGTGTCTGGCCTCTTTTTTCCCCTTGGAATGTCTGGTCTCAATTTTCCCCTTGGGATGTCTGGTCTCTATTTTCCCCCTGGAATGTCTGGTCTCTATTTTCCCCCTGGAGTGTCTGGTCTCTATTTCCCCTTGGAGTGTCTGGTCTCTATTTTCCCCTTGGAGTATCTGGCCTCTTATTTCCCCTTGGAGTGTCTGGCCTCTTTTTTCCCCTTGGAGTGTCTGGTCTCTATTTTCCCTTGGAGTGTCTGGTCTCTATTTTCCCCTTGGAGTATCTGGCCTCTTATTTCCCCTTGGAGTATCTGGCCTCTTTTTTCCCCTTGGAGTGTCTGGTCTCTATTTTCCCCTTGGAGTGTCTGGCCTCTATTTTCCCCTTGGAATGTCTGGTCTCTATTTTCCCCCTGGAATGTCTGGTCTCTATTTTCCCCCTGGAGAGTCTGGTCTCTATTTTCCCCTTGGAGTGTCTGGTCTCTTTTTTCCCCTTGGAGTGTCTGGTCTCTATTTTCCCCTTGGAGTGTCTGGTCTCTATTTTCCCCTTGGAGTGTCTGGCCTCTATTTTCCCCTTGGAGTGTCAGGTCTCTATTTTGCCCTTGGAGTGTCTGGCCTCTATTTTCCCCTTGGAGTGTCTGGCCTCTATTTTCCCCTCACATTATCATCCTTTAGCCTTGAATCAAATTTAAAGATTATGAGAATGTAGAAAATAATAACCAATTTAAGAAGCTCCTGACTGTCAAGCAAATTCTCCTTGTCAGAACCATGGGAAATGTAAAGAGAACATTGTGGAGAATATGAATGTAAATATTGGGGTGGAAAGAGCCAAAAGTGAATAACAATAGTCATTATTGATACTTAAATAGAAGAAACTTATCACTACCAGTTAAGATTGTTTCATAGCTTATATCTACCTGATTCCAAAACACAGTGGCAGAAGAAAGAAACAGGGAAGTTTTACCAGGAAATGTTGGAGAAAAGACGAACTCAGGAGGAGAAGAATCAGGAGGCGTAAGTAACAAAGCAATGCATATTTTTGTGTGTGTTTTTGAATAGTGCTTGTATCTCTACCATAAAATTTTACAATCACTGTCATTTGAAAAAAAAGCTGTAAACACATTGAGTTGATTTTTACTGGCAAATTTTGTCCTGGCCAATCTAAATTAAGTTCAGGACAAACTTGAAATTTTTAAAACAAATAATTAATTACCATTGCTGTTCACAGTCCAGTATTTGTTCCTTAGATATTTTGATGTGTTCACAGTTTTCTTAGTTTCATGGTTAGTGTTGTCAATCTTTGTCATGTTGTTAGTTCTCTGTAGTTCTTCCCATCAGCCTGTAGTTTGAAGATGTTAAATAAAAACAAATCCATTGGAAGTACATTAACCAGCTTGCCATGCCCTTTCCTTCCTCTGTGCTACACATGCATTTGTGATATATGGGTACTTTGATTTTCCATTTCAGGTCACGTATAAAGAAGCAGCGTGATCTGGAAAAACAGCGTGCTTATGATGATCGTCATTGGAGCAAAAAGTCTTTGGAGGAGATGTGTGAAAGAGATTGGAGAATTTTGCGGGAGGACTTCACAATTTCCACAAAAGGTAGGACACTTTTATCTCTATTGTTTTTCCACTGTTCTCCAGGTTGACAACAGAAATCCTACTGATAATAATCAGTCTTCAGTATGATGGAAATCATTTTCTATTTTATGTAACAGGTGGTAAGATACCTCATCCACTAAGGTCATGGAAGGAAAGCACTCTACCCAAAGACATTTTGGATATAGTGGACAAACTCGGATATGAGGTAACCACAGGCAGCCCAATTTGATGCACATGTCGTGAGAAGTTTATTTGGGCTTCAATAATGTTGTTGATCATTATTTTTGGTAGATCTTTTGGATTGGTTTTGAAAATAATTATTCAAAATCAGTAAAATTTTGCTTATTTACCTTAGTTATGTTGTTTCTTTACAGGACCCAACACCAATCCAGCGACAAGCCATTCCTATTGGTCTTCAGAATAGGGATATTATAGGAGTGGCAGAGACAGGTGATCAGAGATCTTAGGATTTCAACAGTTGTTCTTCGTGTCTGATCTTGGATTGTTGTTCCATGTTCTGTAATCTGTGATTGCTTCCGGCATGGGAAATGTTGGAACAAAACAAATAAGCTTACAATCCTAAACGTAGTTTCATCTCTTAGTTGACTGTGTGTTTGTTTGTTTGTTTATCATATTCAAAGGCAGTGGAAAAACAGCAGCATTTTTAATTCCATTGTTGGTGTGGATCATGGGGCTGCCAAAGATTGAAAGAGACATCGACGCAGACAAAGGACCTTATGCTTTGATCATGGCTCCAACCAGGGAATTAGCACAACAGGTGAACAAATAGCAAATAATAAAAAAACATACTCTGTAAGAGGCACAGTGAATGAAATTACAACTAACACATTATCCATGTGATACACGCCAGCCAATTGATAACGTTGATCGCACGTATACTAGTTAATTTCTAAACTTCTTGTTCAGAAACCATTAACGTGCAAGTTGACAGAAAGTTAAAGCCCCTGTCGCTGCTCTGTTCGGATACCTTCGGACTTAGTTGTAACATCTTCGGGAGTCCGTCTGCGGCAGTGATCGGAAGTTGTCGGCCCATCTTCGATAATGTTCGGAAATTCTTAGGGTTGTTTTCGTAAATCGGATTCTCACGTTTTATCGACAAAAACTTTTTAGGTTTAGTTTGGTACTCCAGTAGATTCTGTAATTTTTATTATTGCGTGTATTTTGTTTTTTCAGATTGAAGATGATGCAGCAAAGTTTGGACGTCCTCTTGGTGTTCGGACAGTTTCTGTGATTGGTGGGGTAAGGAGGCTATGCTTAAACTACACATAGTCGTTTTAAAAAACCCTCCACCCCTGTCATAGTTTTTCTTATTTCCTAAGACGGTTTTCCTATCTTGATCAGCTTCTAGTTTATAATCAGTTGTCCTCCAACCCAGCACAACAGTTTCTTTTGTACTCACTAAAAGTGTCTTTTATCGTTAAATGTTGCTTAGTTGTCAAAGTTCTCTGACTTACTCAGCTTTTCTCCATTTTCCCTCCCAGCTGTCACGAGAGGATCAAGGATTCCAGTTGCGACTTGGATGCGAGGTAATCTTCAACTTACTATAGAGCAATACTCAGAAACCAATCTCTTAACATCAATTTAGCACCGATTTGATCACTGCGTGACAACTTAATCAGCAAAAATTATTACGAAACAGTCTGGACAAATTGTTGTGTGACAGAAGCACTTATGGGTCACAGAACAGCTTGTTGGGGCACCACAATGTGTTGTTTGACAAAATTGCACAGGTTCTCACTGAGTTCTGTGACTTTTTTTTTTCTAGATTGTTATTGCCACTCCCGGCCGATTGATCGATGTTCTTGGTAAATGTTTGCCTTCCAATTCCCTTTGATGTTATGTCTGCCTTGTTTTCGTAGTTTACCTGCTAATCTGAGTTTTTCTCCTTCTGACAGAAAATCGTTACCTGGTCCTTAGCCGCTGTTCATACATTGTTCTTGATGAGGTTTGAGTCGACTGTTAACCCTTGTACACACTAATATTAGCATGCATATTCTATATACTGTGCTCTATATACTGTGCTCTATATACTGTGCTCTATATACTGTGCTCTATATACTGTGCTCTATATACTGTGCTCTATATACTGTGCTCTATATACTGTGCTCTATATACTGTGCTCTATATACTGTGCTCTATATACTGTGCTCTATATACTGTGCTCTACATACTGTGCTCTATATACTGTGCTCTATATACTGTGCTCTATATACTGTGCTCTACATACTGTGCTCTACATACTGTGCTCTACATACTGTGCTCTACATACTGTGCTCTACATACTGTGCTCTACATACTGTGCTCTACATACTGTGCTCTACATACTGTGCTCTACATACTGTGCTCTACATACTGTGCTCTACATACTGTGCTCTACATACTGTGCTCTACATACTGTGCTCTACATACTGTGCTCTACATACTGTGCTCTACATACTGTGCTCTACATACTGTGCTCTACATACTGTGCTCTACATACTGTGCTCTACATACTGTGCTCTATATACTGTGCTCTACATACTGTGCTCTACATACTGTGCTCTACATACTGTGCTCTACATACTGTGCTCTACATACTGTGCTCTACATACTGTGCTCTACATACTGTGCTCTACATACTGTGCTCTACATACTGTGCTCTACATACTGTGCTCTACATACTGTGCTCTACATACTGTGCTCTACATACTGTGCTCTACATACTGTGCTCTACATACTGTGCTCTACATATTGTGCTCTACATACTGTGCTCTACATACTGTGCTCTACATACTGTGCTCTACATACTGTGCTCTACATACTGTGCTCTGTATACTGTGCTCTGTATACTGTGCTCTGTATACTGTGCTCTGTGCTCTACATACTGTGCTCTGGATACTGTGCTCTGTATACTGTGCTCTCTATACTGTGCTCTGTATACTGTGCTCTACATACTGTGCTCTACATACTGTGCTCTACATACTGTGCTCTACATACTGTGCTCTACATACTGTGCTCTATATACTGTGCTCTATATACTGTGCTCTATATACTGTGCTCTATATACTGTGCTCTACATACTGTGCTCTATATACTGTGCTCTACATACTGTGCTCTATATACTGTGCTCTATATACTGTGCTCTGTATACTGTGCTCTACATACTGTGCTCTGTATACTGTGCTCTACATACTGTGCTCTGTATACTGTGCTCTACATACTGTGCTCTACATACTGTGCTCTACATACTGTGCTCTACATACTGTGCTCTACATACTGTGCTCTACATACTGTGCTCTATATACTGTGCTCTATATATTGTGCTCTATATACTGTGCTCTGTATACTTTCCAAGGTGTTGACAAGGAGAATTTGTTTAAGAGTTAAGAACTTCTTTAGTTGTTGATCATTTTCATTATTCTCATGACTTTAAAGTGTGATTCAGGGGTGATACTGTAAGGAGAAATCAGATTTTAGTCACTCTTAGGGGTTAAAGGGTTAAATTTGTTCATGGAAAGAGAAGAAAGATTACCGTATTTCTGAAGTGTACATTAAAGTTGAAACGGGAATTCGTAGCATTGATTTAACTGCTGTCCTAGCCAGGGAATGGAAGGAACAACGGTGAATAGAGCACTAGGAAATCTCAAGTTACATTTTTGTAAAGCGGAAAATGACAACGAACAAAAACTTGATCGTTTTGTTTAAATTTTTTCTTTGAGCTCAGGTAAAACTTTATTTCGTCTGTTCTTCATTAATGATTACAGGCAGATCGTATGATCGACATGGGTTTTGAGCCGGAAGTTCAAAAGATTTTGGAACACTTACCAGTGAGTAACGTTAAACCTGATAATGAAGACGCTGAGGATCCCGAGAAACTACTGTCCTACATGGGAAAAGACCGCTTTAGACAGGTTGGTGCACACATAACATTTGTTCGTTAAGATGTTGGCGGATTTTTAATATTGTATTTGGGACAGAAACAGTACAAACAATATGTATACAATTTACTGGAATGACTTAATTTGAAATCAAGAATTATTTTCTAGTAAAAATGATCATCGTTGGAGAAGTATATTATGTGATGAGGCAATATCGACTTTTACCTTGTTCATCTTTTTACTAAAATGTTTGCTTGTAACGCTCTTTTGATTTGGTGGTAATTGTTGTGGTTGTTTATTTTGTCAGACGGTGATGTTTACGGCCACTATGCCTCCGCAAGTGGAACGTATGGCGAGGAACTATCTTCGGTAAGTAAATCAAATAATTCAAACAGTTTCTCTCCCATTTTGGATGTGTTGGACCCATTTCGATCGGTTTCGTCTGATTTCTGACGGCTCCGTCTGATTTCGAACACTGCCATCCGATTTCTAACGATTCCTTCCGATTTTAGGCGCTGTCCTCCTTTCGGTGGTTTCTTTTGGCTTCGACAGTCCTGTTTGATTTTGAACGTTTCGGTCTGATTTCGGATGTCTCCGTCCGATTTCGGAATATTACGTCCGATTCCGGAAGGCTTCATCCAATCTCGGACGATTCCGTCTAATTTCAGACAGTCTCGTCCGATTTTTTCGGTTTCGTCAAAGGAGGTGGTTCCTTTTGTTTTTGAAGGAATTCGTCCGCCGGTTTACGAACGCCTCTATTTCGTGCAATTCTAACTGCTGTCGGATAGTTCGACCGATTTCGAACTGTGCGTTGCGATGCTGAACGCATCGTCCAATTTTGGACGGCTTCGTTAGATTTTTGACGGGTTCGCGCTTTTTCAAACGGTTGTATTCGGTGTTGGAGGCTTACGAACAGGTCGTCTTGATTTCGGAATTGTTCATCTGATATTGAATGCTTGCGTATGTGTTTGGTTTGCCCACTGCCTTCTGTCTTGTGGTTTCGATATCGAACGGAACTTCTACGTTTCTGTTCGATTTCGGAGGGTTCCGTCCGATAATGTGCGTTTGGTTCGCGTATAAATCTTTTCGTCAGATTTCGGACGCTTTTGTACAATCCCAACGGTTTCCGCTTGCTTTCGTTTTATTTGGTTCCATTTGGGACGCTTCAGTCTGATTTCAGGTGGGTCCGTCCGATTTTCATCGGTTAAAAGTGACTGCATTACTGAAAAAAATGTTGAAAGGTGCCTGTTTCTCTTTCAGACGGCCTGCTGTGGTTTATATTGGTTCTATAGGTAAATATCCCGTCTATTCTATTATTACTCTTTCTTTTTCGATTTTCCACTAACTTGAGACTGAATACCGTTGCTTTACCAATTCTTCACAGGCAAACCAGTTGAGAGAGTTGAACAGAAAGTTTACATGCTTAATGAAGCTCAAAAACGGTTTGTCAGCAAGATTTTTGTTGTAATATTTATAAATCAAAACTAATATTTCTTGCGTCCTCCATGAACTAGTGGTTTAAGATATTTTCTGTACAAGCTAATAATTCATTTCTTGGCGGAGGTGTTCTGCACCTTAAAAAACCTCATTTGCTTTTGTTAAAGTGATTTCAGGGTTTGGTGCCAATATCTTAGTGTGGCTAAGCTCCTGTGCCTTGTATTTCATCTACAATCTTCATTGCTGGGTGAAGACATGTCTCTTGTCTGTTGTGAGGTGTCACTTTGGTTATCAAGTTGATATCGAATGAAAATGCCTACAACAACAAAGGGATGTAAGAAAGAAGGGCATAGAAACCTTGTAATCTGTAATGATCGGGCAAATTAAGCCAGTGATTGTTTTTCCAGAGAATAACGTTTTCCGTTTTCTAAACAGGAAGAAGCTGTTAGAGATATTGAACGGTGGTATCGACCCTCCCATTATAATATTTGTCAATCAAAAGAAGGTAAGATTCTCTACTTGTTTCTACTCAATAATTACTTCATATTAATCCACATTGTTAATTTATTTCCTGTGTATTTGTAGTAGTTCTCAGTTTATTCATTCAGTTTCCAATACTAGTGTTCTGTCATAATATTGCACTGATATGCTTCGATTTTAAAAGGAATCGGGACTCTAGCTGGGGTTCGACGAGTAGTTCCATTCACGAACGTGAAGGGTATAAAACGTTATTATTCTTTCTAGGGAGCTGATGTATTAGCAAAGTCCTTGGAGAAAATGGGCGTAAGTCTTTCGTAATTTTAGCCTCTGTCGTTACCCCTACTTGTTATTTTGTTTATTTCTGTGTTTGGTTGATCGTTTGCTTGATTGTTTGTTTCCTTGTTTGTTGGTTGGAATTTTTTTCCATTTGTTAGTTTTCTGTTTTAGTATTAGTTATTTGTATGTATGTATGTATTGTTATATATTTTTAACCTAATTGGCTCTCCTTAGTTCCGTGCCACGACCCTCCATGGTGGACGAAACCAGGAACAGAGGTGAGTTCATTCCCTTGATCAACATGCCCCACCTCATTTATTCTAGACAAATTGTAAAAACATGTAGTTTACATCAAGCACTATTTTATACTGGATGGATTTTTAGTTGTACTCTTAAATGTCTTCTCTTTAACATCTTCTTTTTGCTAAAAGCTACTTGTTGTTGGTCAGTTGCTAGAGTTCGTTTTATACACCAGCACAACAGTCCTCTTTTTAACAGACTTGCGTGAATTGCAATATTTTATCTATTTTCAGAGAGTTTGCTTTGTCGAGTCTCAAGTCTGGTGCTAAAGATATTCTTGTCGCCACTGATGTAGCGGGGCGTGGTATTGATATCAAGTAGGTGTTCTTCATCGTTATCATCACCGTCACGATCATCTCTTTGTTTTGTCGTTTGCCCTTTTGTTCGAATGTTTTGACTTAAATTTTTTGTCGCTAGGGATGTCTCGCTTGTTCTTAACTACGACATGGCAAAGTCTATAGAAGGTTGGTGGTTGATATTAAATGGTGTCCATTTTATTAATTAACGACAGCGTGTCCAAAATAGTCTTCTTTTCGATGAGGTATATCGCGGAAATGTTTTTGTTGAGTAGGTTTTTCTCTTACAAGGTTTTATTTACGAGGACTCGATCTTCATTGCCAAATGCACGCCTTTCTTGTTCACGCCACGCAGTCACATTTATGTGTTCCTGTTTTATTCAAATTCACTGGTTTGGTAACAATAGCACAGCAATTGTCTGCAAGTAGTCGTAATGTTGTTTTATTCGTTCAAGGCTACACTCATCGTATCGGTAGAACTGGTCGCGCTGGAAAGACTGGTATCTCCGTCACCTTTCTGACCCAGGAAGATTCAGCCGTGTTTTATGACCTTAAGCAGACTCTACTGGCCAGTCCGGTAAGTAAATACCTAACAAGCAGCTGGAAAAAGGTCTGATTGAGAAAGGAATAAAAGAGGCGGGTTAGAATTTCGCTGGATTCTATTTTGAATTCCTCTTTTGTAATATGAAAACCCATTTCATTAAAAGAGAGGTCTGCTGCACAAATCTGGTTCTGGTTCTTACACACACACACACACAAATTAAATTAAATCCAGAAAATGAGAAATTGCAGCACACTCACCTTTTGAGATTTCTACTCAAGCGTCACAGACAGACTTGTTTAATTTCTTTCCACCTCCCTCTTCTCCTATCACCTTCTCGCTTGATATGAATTCTGTCCCAATTTTATTTCACTGACTACGTTTTACAACTGAATTTTAATCTTTTTTTGACTTTAGGTGAGCAATTGCCCGACAGAGCTTGAAAAACATCCGGAGGCTCAGCACAAACCTGGCACAGTACTGACAAAGAAAAGGAAAGAAGAGACAATATTTGTTTAAAAAACCCATCGTCCCCGATCATCCAAGAATGTCCAAATCGCAATATGTATCAGAAACATAACACCCAGAAAACGCTCTAGGATTGTAATGCAGACGGAAAAATTAAAAGTCGTCAATTCTTCTAAATTACAACTGTGATGTCGTTTTCATGGACAGTTTTGTTGTTCTTCTTAAACTAACTGTATATAGTCACTCTAGTCCAGGATCGACCGTGAGGAGTGTTTGATGCGTACTTGATATAACTTCATACCCGAGTGAGGTTTGATATACTGCGTATTTCACATCATTAAGTGTGTTTCCGTTGAATGTTATGAACAAGGACACTTGTGATGCACATTATACAGGAATTGAATCTCATAACCAGTCAATGTTGGATTGATCTGATCGAGGTGCGATCTTGAAGAGCGCTCAATAGGCTGGATTGGTGCTTTTTTGCGCGTGAAGTTTTATAACTGAGTTTTTTCCCCCAGTTCTTACGCGCATCACAACACGGTACATGCAACTCAGTGCAAATCCTCACATGCCAAAGTGGGAAGGGGGGGGGGGGGAGTGGGAGGATGTCGGACGGAGTTTAAACGGGGTGGGTGTTGTTCGTCATCACTCAAACAATGATATGGAACTAAAAAATATTATGTTTCTATTTTAAAGCACCTATGTTTCAAACAGTCAGCGAAATGTATTCTTTGATATAAAATGGTTTAGCATATATTTTATACTTTAATTCCACTTTTCGGTAGAACTTGATTTGGAGGAACTCGGGTAATTGTCTTCGTGACATCAATCCTCCTTGAACGCTCGTGAAAAGTAAAATAACGAAGGGAACGCTGTATGTCCTGTATAGGTTACACGAGTGGCGAATACAATAAGTTTAAAATACCCAAAAATTTTGAGGTGGGGTTTATAGCGGCTACTATTTGGTTAAATTAAATTGAGAGATAAGTTAACTTTGGGATAGCAGACGAAATTATTTTCCAATAATTTGAGGGAATGCGAAAGAGGTAGTTGAACGAAGGAAAGATTCTTTTAACGAGCTGGAGTTGCGAACAAAGGTAAAGTGGTGCCTGGTTCTGTGGACACTACAACATCATCTTTCTCGTTCACACTCTGGCGGCCTGTGCCCGAAGAACACTTGCATCTGGAAACTGAAAATGGGAACAAGAAGCGTGACTGTTAATGCCTACAATGGACAGCCACGGAAACGCTGGAAAAAGAAGAGGAGATTTAACAAGCAAAGTAAGGAAGAGGACAATGTCACCTGATGTGAAAGTCGACATCGAAACTTCTCAGATAAGCACATTTTCACGTTGAATGTGGTTGGATATGGTACTCCAGACTTAACGCTTCACATAACTCAATAACCGACACTCAGTTTTGTTAGGAACCCATCAATGGGCTCCTGGTTTTGTGAAGTGTTTAATCAGGCGCACGTGTATTTTTTATTTTTTATTTTTTGTATTACTGAGATGCAAACCGTAGAACCCCCGATATAATTATGGACTACTTACCTTTTTCGTCCAGGTCTTTGACTATGGCGGACAGCTGTTTTATTTGTTCTCTCAGTTTAGACAAATCTTCTGGCTGATAAAAACAAGGTGTTTCTCAGTAAATTGCTCTGCATGTCTTGCATTCCTTTATTCATCCTACTTACCGAGGTGCTAATGCCCGGTTGCCCGGGTTCCCCTGGGGGTCCAGGAGGTCCACGTAATCCTACCGGTCCTTGTACGGACAACCCTGGATCTCCCTTTCTTCCTTGTGGACCCGAAGGGCCTCGTATTCCCGGTGATCCCGGAGGACCCGGATCTCCTGTCACCACCATAGCCGGACCTGGTGGCCCCGAGTCCCCCTTTTGTCCTTTTGGACCCTGAGGCCCTAGAGAGGGTCCTACAGATAATTACAAAACAAATAATCAATTATTGTAAATGAATCCATTTTTTCAACAGTAAAGGATTTTGAGCTATGATTTCTTCGTACCTCTTAAATCTCTAGAACCTCCATGTCCTGGTTCTCCTCTCTCACCCGGTGGTCCTGGGGGACCCGGAGGGCCGGGGGGGCCCGGTAGTCCCGTATTACCCCTGAAGGTGACATCTTCATCGGATATGGTGGCTGCTGCAGACGTCCCAGCTCTCTTAAATGAAAAAAAAGTCATCAGTTAAGAATTATTTTTTGAAAGCAAACAGAAAACTATTAAACGAAGGAGAAAAACCAGACCTTCATGCTAATTTTCTTTTTTTAAAGTAAACTCTTGAAACTTTTTATGTGATCCTGACACTCAGAGAGTTGTTTGGTTTGCGAGACAGCTGTCATCATGGTTAATTACAATGAAGTAATGCACTAACCTTTTCCAGTGCAGACAAACGGCTTTCCCACAAAAGGAACTTGGTACAGTTAAAACAGGCTGTGGAATTGAGCAAAAATCACAATTAACATCAGCATGGGCTAAGTACTTAATGGAATCAGCAGCAACCTTTCAAACAAAATGGAAAAACGATGTATCTGTGTTAAATTTATGGCATATTTAAAAATCCTTTTCCGTTCCCAGCCCACACAAATATGGACAGAACGCGACTGAACACAACGTATTATGAAGTTTCAATGTCCCCTTAGCAGATCTCTTACTTGTCAGGTGAATTTTCATTACGTGAACGCGGTGAAAATTTTCCAGTTATCTACTTTTCTATCGGTCTCTTTTGAAGAATTGCCTTAAAAATAGTGCAACAATGAAATAGCGTGAAATTTTTTACTATTTTTTTATTTGAGACATCTTAGAAAAGCCTGTGTGTGGACTATGGAGACAATAATGAATAATTCTGAGATCTAATTGTTCCGTTTTGAAATTGTGAAATATCTCTCAGTTAGAGGCCGCGCATTGATCAAATAATGCATGTCTTTCAATTATAGAAAGGAAAAATTCGAGCGTTTTCTCGTAGGAAAAAAGACACCTTGAAAGAGGGCGTTGCGGAAGTGACAGATTTTTAAACCACGCAAAAGATTTGAACGAGCCACAGAAAAATTGATCGCAAAGTTATCATCTATCTGCACTCGATTGTTTTTTTTTCGCACGAAATTTATTTGTTAAAATGTTGAATTTCATTAACACTGAAATAAATTAAATGCCGACCAAGGGAGGAATTGCAATTATCATCCAGGCTTGAACTCCTATTAACGTCACCATATCGGCCAGTTTAAATTAAGGTAAAGAAGGTAGTTTACCATTTGATTGCGATACACCTCAAGCTTCGAGAAAATTTAGTGCTGTGAGGAAATGGCATTACTGCAAAAATTCGCATAATGGTCATGTGACATGTTATTTTGAACTTCAATTTCCATATTGAACTGAAAGTCTACGCTATGACTCTGTATAAAGAGATATGCGACACACAGACTGAAAAATTACTGATCGAGGATAATCCGCTTTCGTTCGTCATCGCTCTTTCAGTTATCAACACTTTTTTGTCGTTAACAGCTTCTGTTGGAAATTTACTTATCCTACTGGGTTTGAAAAAATGTCGTACCATTCACGCTCCGTCCAAAGCTCTTCTATTCAGCTTGGCCATGACAGATCTTGGCGTCGGTCTTTTTTCTCAGCCTCTTTTTGCAGCGTTTAAGATCATTGGGTACAGACAAGACTATTACAAGCCGGTCTGCATAATGGCAATATTTGATACGCTCTTCGGAGATGCGCTGGCAGCCGTTTCTCTTTTATTAGTGAGTGTTATTTCTATTGACAGATACATGGCGTATCGCTTGCGCGGGAAATATCGTAGTCTTGTGACCTTAAAGAAGACAATTCTTGCTGTTATATGTTGCTGGTTGATCGCCTGCGCTTGGGTTGGACTGGGAGTATGGGAGAAGAATTCCGCTCGAGTTTTCCAAACTGTTGTAGTGAGCCTGTGTTTAATTGTACCTATTGCTTCATACGTCAATATTTATGTGGGATTACGATTCTGTAGTTCTCATATCCGCGTAAGAAGCGTGTTAAACGCAATTCACATGCCACACTACAAGAAATCCGCCATTACCATGGCTTATGTTTGCGGGTTTCTCCTACTATGCTATCTACCTCACTTTGTGTTAGAAGCCATTTCTGGCTTTTTTAACGATGAACAAACATATCTTCGTGTTAAAAACTGCACTAAAACAATAGCGTACTTCAGCTCATCGATAAATCCGCTTATTTATTGTTGGAGAATCCAAGAAATTTTTGACTTTGCTTCATCTTCATTATCGCGTCTATTCTGTATTCGCTCTCGATAAATAAAGGGATTTTAACTTAGCACAGCTGCCGCTAATCACAAGATAGACAGTAAATGTTTCCTCTTAATGTCAGAAAGTGAAAGCAATTTTAAACTAAAGCTGGAGATACACACTGACAAAGTAATTTACATGGAAATTTAAAAAATTTGATTTCAAACTGATTCACTAAGGCAAAATAATATACCATTTTCTCCTACAATATTTCACTGCACGACTCCAGTATATCATCATAATTCTAGAATTTGACCAGCGTTTGCATTTAATTTAGCTCGCAATGTTTCCAAATTTTGTGATAATTCTATACTTAAGTAGATACTAAACTTAAATAAAAGTTTTTTTCATAGCCAATCCACTCTCTGCTTTGACAGTTCGGCAATTGATCAACGACGAATTTTTCAAGTCGTGGACATCGATGTGTGCTCTTACTAACCTTGACTACAATCTGAACCTGTAAATCCGGGACAACAATCTTTGACTGACGTCATAACTGTTCTTACTTCTACTTTGTACTCTGGACGATACGAAACCCTGAAAACCGCAAATGCAACAGATTCTGTTCATATTTTATAATACTGCATTACCCAAAATAATTTTATTCCTTTTCAGTGGATGGGACACTTGTTCATTACAGAAGTTTGCTGCTGAAGCACTAGATACCTGTCCGGGGAGGGAGTAAAACAAAACAATTACCCTCCTCTCCTACCCCTCTTCGGTCGAGTCCAAGCCGCATGGACTCGTTCGATTCTCCAGCCGCCGAACGCTTGGGTCCGAGTTTTGATCGAAATTTGAAGTCATGTCGGCCATCTAACTTCCGCTAATTACGCTTCACTGTGGTGTATACTAACCTATAACCTGTGCATACTTTGTCCCGGGACTGA